ACAGCACGACTCAATTTGTCAACAGACACTCCTACCTCTTCACTCGAGACTGTTTTGTCTGTACCTGTCACTGCTCCTGTTATGAATTATACTTCTCCACAGGCTCCCTCTCCACAGGCTCGATCTAAGCTCTCTTGCAAATATTGTAAGAAGGAAGGACACCGCATTGAGACATGCTTCAAGCTTCATCCTGAGTTACGTTCCTCAGGTACTGGACGTGGTCGGCGACCCCCTCAGTCTCAACCCTCTCGTACACCAGGATTGTTGGCCAATGCTATACCTTCTACTACTTCAGACTCTACTATTCAAGCTATTGAAAGTCTTCGCCGTCAACTTGATGCTTTTCAACATATCACCTCTACATCCGCCGCACAACTCTCTGGTATGCATTTTGCTGGTTCTTCAGCTAATCCTTCAGTCTCTGGTATGAATGATCTCTGGATTTTTGACTCTGGTTGTTCCTTTCATATGACTTGTAATGCCTCACTTTTATCCTCTGTCTTTACTTCATCCTCTCTTCCTCCTATCTACACAGCTGCTGGACAACCATTGTCCATTACTCAGTATGGCTCTATTACCCCACAAAATGATCCATCTGGTCGTCTAACACTTGGTCCCGTCTATGTGGCTCCACAATTGTGCTTGAATTTAATTTCTATTAGCTCTTTATGCATGGCGGGCCTGTTTGTCTCATTTTCTTCTGATACTTGTATTGTGCAGGATCCACAGACGGGCAAGACGGTTGGGGCGGGTCGTAGGAGGCACAAACTGTATTTTCTGGAATATCTTCACCTTCCAGAGTCCATACGTCCACGTTCTCTTGTTGCTTCTCTTTGTTCGTCAAAACCCTCTACCTCGCTTCCTGCCAATTTATGGCATAGACGACTTGGTCATGTGTGTAATAAAAGGCTGGAGAGTCTTATTCAGTCTGGAGTACTTGGTCCTGTATCATCTAGTTCTAGTATTGAGTCATGTGCTGGTTGCAAATTGGCTAAATTCACTGCTTTACCATTTAAAATGAGTACATCTGTATCCACTTCCTTATTTGATTTAGTACATTCTGATATTTGGGGGCCAGCTCCTTTGCCTTCTTCATCTGGCTACTTATATTATGTTAGTTTTATCGACGATTTCTCTCGTTTTACATGGGTTTACCTACTTAAGAATCGCTCTGACGTACTTACTGCTTATCAAGCCTTCACTGCTATGATTTTCACTCAATGGCAATCTCGTATTAAAGTTTTTCGTTCTGATTGTGCCAAAGAGTACCTATCCTCTGCCATGCGCTCTATCATGTCCTCTCATGGGACTATCTTTCAACAGTCATGTCCCTACACTCATGAGCAAAATGGTGTTGCTGAACGCAAACATCGTCATATCCTCGATACTGCCCGATCAATGCTCATTTCTTACTCTGTTCCTCGTCGTTTCTGGGCTGAGGCTATTCTCACCGCGACTCATGCCATTAATATCACTCCATCTAGCTCTCTTTCCGGTGCTACTCCTTATAGTCGTGTTTATACTCATCCTCCCCGTTATGATCTAGTTCGCGTTTTTGGTTGTCGATGTTTTGTTTTTCTGCCATCTCACGAACGTGATAAATTGTCTCCCAGAGCAGTTTCTTGTGTTTATTTAGGAATTAGTTCAGAACATCGAGGTTATCGTTGTTATGATCCCGCAACTCGTCGAGTTCATATATCTCGTCATGTTCAGTTCGAAGAGGATTCTCCATATTATTCTACTTCTGATGACTTTAATTTCCTCCACTCTACCGATCATGCTTCCCCGTCCACTGCATCACCCACTTCTTCACCTCAATTTTCCTTTCGAGATCTCCCTGACATCTCTCCCTCTCCTTCTGTTGACTCTTCCTCACCTGAGTCTTCTCTTACACCATCTAATCCATATCCTGTGGACACAACTCTCACTCCAGAAAATACTGTTGATCTTCATGCACCTGCGCCAGCATCTCCCCCGCCTGAGGTTCCTCTTGCTCTTCGTCGAGGCAAACGCCCACATGTCATGCCTGCCCGGTATGCTTCTGTTACTTCTTATTCACCTATCTTTCATAACTTTCTTGCTGCCATTCATACTATTGTTGAGCCAAAGTCCTTCCAAGAGGCAGTTCAAATTCCAGAGTGGCGACAAGCTATGGCTGAGGAATTTCAAGCATTTCAGCAAACTCATACCTGGGATATTGTTCCCTGTCCTCCTGGGATCTCTCTTGTTGGCAGTAAATGGGTTTATAAGGTCAAGTTTCGTCCTGATGGCACCATTGAACGTCGAAAAGCTCGTTTAGTGGCTAGAGGTTTTACTCAGCAACAAGGTATTGATTATGAGGAGACCTTTGCTCCTGTTGCTCAGATGCCCACTGTGCGTACTCTCCTTGCGGTCGCTGCTGCTCATCGTTGGCCCTTATACCAGATGGATGTCAAAAATGCTTTTCTTCATGGCTCTTTATCAGAGACCGTATATATGCAACCGCCTCCAGGGTCAAATATTCCTCCGGGACATGTATGTCTCCTTCGTCGTGCTGTTTATGGTCTCAAACAGGCACCCCGCGCTTGGTTTGAGTGTTTTCGCGATGTTGTGCTCAAAGCGGGCTTTATAGAAAGTCATCAAGATGCTTCTCTGTTTGTTCGCACTACATCGCGTGGCAGGGTTTTATTACTCATCTATGTAGATGATATGATCATTACAGGTGATGATATGACAGGTATACAATACGCAAAATCTCAGTTGCAACAACAGTTCCACATGAAGGATCTTGGATCTCTTCGGTATTTCCTTGGTCTAGAAATTTCTCAAGGCCCGCGGGGTGTATTACTGTCTCAACAGAAGTATCTCTCAGATATTCTAAATCAAGCTGAGTTAACTGATAATACAACTGTCGATACTCCACTCCAGCAGAATGTCAAACTTTGCTCTACTGACGGTGAGCCTCTATCTGATCCTACCCGATATCGACATCTTGTTGGTCAGTTGGTCTATTTGTGCATCTCTCGACCAGATATCTCTCATGCTGTTGGTATTGTCAGTCAATTTGTTAGTGCCCCACGTTCTGTACACTATGCTGTCTTATTACGGATTCTTCGGTACCTCCGGGGTACTAGCACTCGCTCACTTTTGTTTCCTGCTACATCTAAGTTAGAGCTTTGTGCATATTCTGATGCTGATTGGGCTGGTGATCCAACTACCAGAAAGTCTACCACAGGTTATTGTATATTTCTTGGTGATTCCCTTATTTCCTGGCGAAGTAAGAAACAAGATGTTATTGCTCTTTCCAGTACTGAGGCAGAGTATCGTGCAATGTCCACAACAGCTAAAGAGATTATTCATCTTCGTCGCCTTCTCAGTGATTTCGGTATTTCTGTTACGACTCCTACTCCTCTCTACTGTGATAATAAGAGTGCCATCCAGATTGCTAATAATCCAGTATTTCATGAAAGGACCAAACATATTGAGATCGACGCTCATTTTGTCCGTCACCAAGTTATCAAGGACAAGACAATTCTACTTCCTCATGTTTCATCCGCTGACGAGCTTGCAGATTTCTTCACAAAGGCCTTACCTGTTCATCGGTTCCAGTTTCTTGTACGCAAACTCACTTTGTTTGATCCAACATGAGTTTGAAGGGGGCTGTTGATAATAGTGTATTGTAGTGGGTTTTAGTCCCACATTGCTTGGGAGAACAAACCTCACACTCCTCTACTTGTATAAATATATGTGCACACTCAATATTCAATTCAAGGGAAATTTACCCAAGATTCTCTCTCTCTCTCTTACTTTAACACCTCATAAATTAGAACTAGAAGACAACATAGAAAGACATTTTGAAAGTTGTTGGGGGGGGGGGG